CACCAACTTTCACGGATTACGCGCCGCTGCTAAAAAGTATCCTGACCACGCCTAGCTACACCATGAAATCTCACTTATTCCGTTGATGAATTATCGCACCAGGCCTCATCTTACTTGGAAATATTCATTCCCCTTCCTAAGTACTCAGGCATTGCGTGACTGCTTCGACCCCACAGTTGTTCATCATCCATGATATGTCTAATACGAAACCTCAAAAAATTTCTTTAGTTTCCACATTTTAACGCTTTCGCTACTACGGGCGACTATAGTCGCTCTGCAGAAAATGTTACTGACGTACTATGGGCGACTATAGTCCCTCTGCATAAAATGTTACTAACGTATTTCAGGCGACTATAGTCGCTCTGCATAAAATTCCACTGATATACTACGGGCGACTATAGTCGTTCTAAATAAAATTCCACTGACGTACTACGGGCGACTATAGTCCCTCTGCATAAAATTCCACTGATATACTACGGGCGACTATAGTCCCTCTGCATAAAATTCCACTGATATACTACGGGCAACTATAGTCCCTCTGCATAAAATTCCACTGATATACTACGGGCAACTATAGTGCCTCTGCATAAAATTCCATTGTATACTACGGGCAACTATAGTCGCTCTGCATAAAATGTTACTGTCGTACTACAGGCGACTATAGTTCCTCTGCATAAAATTCCACTGATATACTACGGGTAACTATAGTGCCTCTGCATAAAATGTTACTGACGTACTACGGGCGACTAAAGTCGCTCTGCATAAAATGTTACTGACGTACAATGGGCGACTATAGTCGCTCTACATGTAATAAAATGCTACTGACGTACTATGGGCGAGTATAGTCCCTCTGCATAAAATTCCATCGACGTATTACAGGCGACTATAGTGCCTCTGCATAAAATGTTACTGACGTACAATGGGCGACTATAGTCGCTCTACATGTAGTAAAATGTTACTGACGTTCTACGGTCGACTATAGTCCTGCATAAAATTCTACTGACGTACTACAGGCGACTATAGTCGCTCTAAATAAAATGTCAATGATGTACTACAGGCGACTATAGTCGTTCTAAATAAAATTCCACTGATATACTACGGGCGACTATAGTCGTTCTAAATAAAATTCCACTGATACATTACGGGCGACTATAGTCGCTGTGCATAAAAGCTCGCCCGTAGCGAAAGAGTTAAAAGCCTAAAGCAATCTGTTCCACAAGAAACTAGGTTCCTTCCAGACATCAACGTCGACGATTTAAATCGAGTGAACCTAGTAAGAAGGGAAACGAATTATAATAATAAAATTCGTACAATAAGTCAGATGTTCTGTTACAGAAGGGAGTAGCAGAGAGAAATGTAGAGAGGGGTGGTAAATAAAAATACGTGAACACAGGAGGGACCGTGGTTGGTATTACGCGTTATTAGCCGACCCTTAATACCTCGCCCGTTTTCGCCGAATTTTCGGGGCCCGATGACTTCCTCTACGCTCCGATGAGCACCGCCGAATAATCCAGCTAACATCTGTATCATCGTCGGCTATTCTGCCATTCGACGCGGAGGGAACATTGCATCTGGTCTACCCCCCCCTTCCCACGACGATCCCTTGCCTCATCCCTCAGCGACGACCCTCTAAACTTCTACCAGGAGTTGTTTCGTGTTTCAGGTACTATGTATAATAATTCAGTTTAATCACTGTGGGGACTATAATTGAACTCGGTTTTTTATAGTACTTCTAATTTACACCCTCATAG